TCTCTCCCACCCCTTTCAGTTGTATGAGTTTCTTATATATTTGGGTTATTATCCCTTTATCAGATATATGGTTTGAAAATGTTTTCTCACATTCCGTAGGTTGCACTTTCATTTTTGCACTACAAAACTTTTTAGTTCCATGATGTCTCACTTGGTAATTTTTTGCTTTTATTGACTGTATTTACTTGGTGTCATATTCCAAAAACCATTGCAAAGACCAATGTCAGGAAGCTTTTTTCTATGTTTTATTTTAGGATTATGGTTTCATATCTTGCATTGAAGTCTTTAATAGATTTCAAGTTAATTTTGTGTATGATGGAAGACCAAGGTCCAATTTCATTCTTTTGCATATGAATATCCAGTTTTTCCAGCATCTTTTATTAAAGAGACTACCCTTTTTTATTATGTATTCATGGTATGCCTTTCCAAAAATTAGTTAACTTGGGTTTATTTATTTACTTTATATTCTGTTTCATTGGTCTGTTTTTCTGATAGTACCACACTATTTTGATTACTATAGTTTTGCAGTATAGTTTGAAATCAGAAAGTATGATGCCTCCAGCTTTGTGATTGTTTTGACTATTTGGGTCATTTGTGATTCCATAGGTATTTTAAGGTTGTTTTTTTTGTTTTCGTTTTTTTATTTCTGTGAAAAATGCCATTGGAATTTTGATAGAGGTTTCAGTGAATCTGTACTTCACTTTTAGGTAGCATGGACACTTTAACAATAGTCTTCTGATCCATGAACACAGGACATATTTTCATATGTGTCTTCTTCAATTTTTTATCAGTGTCTTATAGATTTTAGTGTACATATCTTTCACCTCCTTGGTTAAATTTATTTCTAAATCATTTATAATTTTTGATATTATTGTAAATGGGATTGTTTTCTTGATTTCTTTTTCAGATAATTTATTGTTACTGTTAGAAACAGATTTTGTTTTTGATTTCGTATTCTGCAAATTTGATGAATTCATTTATTCTAACAGTTTTTGGTAGAATATTTAGTGTTTTCTATATATAAGATCGTGTCATTTGCAAATAGAGACAGTTTAATTTCTTTCTTTCTGAATTAGATACCTTTCATTTATTTGTCTTCCCTAATTGTTCTGGCTAGGACTTCTGGTCCTATGTTGAATAGGAGTGGTGAGAGTGTCTTATTTCTGATCTTAGAGGAAAAGCTTTTGATGAATTGACCCTATTATCATTATACAGACTCATGGATTCTTCACTAATTTCACTCATTTCTTTACTGTCTTTTTTCATTTCGATGCTCAAATAGTCTCATATATATAGTGTGTGTGTGTGTGTGTGTGTGTGTGTGTGTGTGTGTGTGAGCCACTTCACTCTGGCTCCTGTGCCTTGTTGATGCATTCCCATCATGTTCGGGACATTTCCCCTGTTATCCATGATATCACTAATTTCTCCAAGGAACCCAGTTCCTTTTAGTACTGAGTGGTATCTTGGGCATGTGTTCTTATGTTTAAAACATAGCATTTTCAATCAACGATATTTGGATATTGTTTTTTAAAATCCAATCTGCCTAATTGGAGTGTTTATTTCATTACACTAATGTATTTAGAGATGTGCTTGGATTTAAGCCTGCTGTCTTACTATTGTTTTTTCTTTGTCCCATTCACTTTTGACCCTGCCTTTTCCAAATTTCCTTCCTTCTTCTTGGTTAAGTGTTTTTGGTATTATGAATTTTTTACCCCATTGGTGTACTTGAGTATATAAAACATTTTGTTTTATTTATTTATTTATTTATTTATTTATTTATTTATTTATTTATTTATTGTTTACTTGTGTAGTTTCTCTGGGGATTACAGTGTGCATCCTTAACTCATTACAATTTATCCTGAATAATGTATCACTTCACATATAACTTAAGAATCTTACAACTGTGTAATATAATATATCTTCTCCATTTTTTATATCATTGGCATATACTTCACTTATATACCTGTTTTTAAATTCGAAGATATTAGTTATTATTTGTGCTTTGAACATTTAACAGTATTTTAAAATTCAAGGAAAAATGTAGTTCTCTATAGTTAGCCACATACTTGCCATTTTCAGGACTGCTCATTCTATCCTGCTGATTTAGGTTACCCTTGGTATTATCTTAGCATTTCTTTTAGTGTATATCTGCTAGTATTATACTTTCTTAGCTTCTGTTTGTCTGAACTTTTTTTCACCTTTGTTTTCAAAAACATATTTTTTAAGATATAGAATTCTAGGTTGACAATCCTTCCTTTCCCTACACTTTAAAGATGTCATTCCACTGTCGGCTTCCATGGTTTCTGAAGAGAAATGAGTCATGACTCTTATTGTTGTTTCTCTGAATGTATTGTCTTTCTTCTCTGGTTGCCTTTATGATTTTCTCTATCTCTTTGTGATTTTTAGTTTGGCTGTGATTTTCCTATGGGTTGTTTTATTTGCATGAATTCTGTTTGGGGTGTGCTGAATTTCTTGCATCTGCAGATTGAAATTTATCAGGTTTGGAGACGATTTTGCTAATATGTCCTTAAGTATGCCTCCTTTCTCACCTTTTCTTCTGTGACTCCTAGCTCTTGATAAATCATTCAGATTTTATCATTACTTGAGTGAACAGAATGTGAGTCTCAGTTTTAATTGGTTTTAGTTACTTCTGATCTATCATCTATCTATCTATCTATCTATCTATCTATCTATCTATCTATCTATCTATCTATTTTGGTACGTGCCCCTAGCAGGAACCGAACCCGGGACTCTCTGGTCCGCAGGCCGATGCTCCAATCGCTGAGCCAAATCGGCCAGGGCTATTTATTTATTTTTGAAAGTATTACAGATGTCCCTTATTTCCCCCCAATGACCCCCTCCTCCATGATCCACCCCCCCACCCCCCCCACCCCCGCTTTCTCCAACCTAATGTCTGTGTCCATTGGTTGTGCATATATGCATATAAGTTCTTTGGTTTTAAATGGCATTGCAGAAGTCTTTTTGTTCTTAAGACCAACTCTGAAATTCCAAAGCTTCCATCCAGGGGCTTATCTGTGATCTTAACAGGATTTGAACTGGGCTGGGTTTCAGCTTTAGTTAGTTTTTGCTCTCCTTTGGCTTGAATTTCAGTATAGCCCTGGAACCTAAATCCCTTGCAAAATTTGCAAGATTTTTCTCTGATTTCTAGCACTGCCTCCACCATTTCTTATGTAACAGAATTTTTATAGCAAAGAATAGTTGAGTCAGTATGTTTATTTTTGTTTGGGGGCTCTTCCAAGATTCCAATCTGTAATATTAGCCCGCACTGTTAAAGGTTTGGCTGATTTCTCTCCATCCCACCATAGTCTCTCAGCCTGTGATTCTTTTACTGCCTTTTCTATCTGTACCCAGATTAGGTATTGGCCTGAGATATGAAAGTGGCTGGTAGACTTTGCTTACCTTTCAAGGGCTTGTTCCAGTGTGCAGTTTTGTGAAGGTAGTGATAGTCTTTCTTGATCTTCTACATCATCTAAAAGTGGTACTTCTGTTAGTTCTTCTTAAAGCATAATAGAGATAATGGAATAAGCATAGGATGCCATGACAGGGATTAATATCATGGTCACCAGATGATTTTGGGCACCTGTGTTAATTGTTATTATAGCACCCTGTGTTTATTCATAGCTCATATTACAATTGATATAATACAGTTATGACTTTAATATAGGGAGGCTGATGCACATGACCACTTTGTTCACCTTTGTGATCTGAATATTCTACCAACCCAATGCCTAGCACTTCATATTTATAGAATGAAGTATTTCAATTCAATAATAATTTTGGAAAGGGTGGCAGTGGGCTAGAAAGTACTGGTCAATTAAATGTATCCTTCCTTACATGTACCCTGTAAAAATATTTTTGTATGTCTCTTTTCCTAACTGATTACGGCCTTGCATTTTTAGTCTTATTTATTTCTAATATGTTTCTGTTTTCCACATAGCATGACAAGGTAGCTTGCCTATTATGTATTTAGAATTTTAAGATTTTTGATTCAACCGTACTAAGCCTCTTATTTCCTTTTGTAGAAAGAGAAATCAAGGAGATAAAATTTGTGACCATTGACCATAAGCAATGAATTATTGACAAAGAACTATTCATACATCTTTTTTTACAGTTAGTTCTTGCTGTGTATAAACAAGTATCATTACAATAGTAACCTTATTATTGAAGATCCAAAGGATATCTTTTAGAGAAAGCCATCCTGGGTGATGTTTTCAGGGGCTCATGAAGGATGTCTAGGTCTCGAATTTAGTCTCTTGGTCACAAGACTGTTTTCCTTTTAAATTTTAAATGTAGAAATAGCTTTGGAATAATTTTTCTTATGTTTAGTTTTCTTTACTGAATAGAAAAGGTCTTTATTGATTACTCTTGGGATTTAAAAACATGTATGCAGAGTTAAACTACTGGCTTGCTTGAGACACTTATTTTGGAATGAGAGCAAAATAGACATTATATGAAAGTTGATAATATAGGGCAGAGAAACCTTTTTTTAGGGACCTTTATCATCTAATTATGTAGGAAGTCTACAGAGAGACTAGGTTGGAAAATTATAAATATTAATCTGTGAAGTAACTTGACATATGGGAAAAATAATGGTTTAGGCTGAGGAATCACGCCGGGGAACTCTTTACTCTGAGAGAGTACAGGCTAGTGTTTAAATGCTGCGGGATTTAGAGCTGGACTGCCTGTGTGACCATCTGTACTCACTGTGTGACCTCGAGCAAGTTAACTTCTCTGTGCTTCCATTTTCTCATCTGTAGAGATAACAATAAAATGACTTCATATGCTCATTGTGAAGGTTAAATGAATTTTAATTCATTAAAGTACTTAGAATAATTTCTGGCACACAATAAATGGTATTTGTTGCTGCCATTATTTATTATTGTTATTATCATTACTACTGTTATTATAAGTACCACCTTGTTTGTTTGCAAAATAATTTTGCTGCCTGGTATGACTATCTCTTGACACTTCTTTTTCAGCTCCACTGAAATTGATGACATGATTCGAAAATCTACAAACCTCTTGCTAACCAGGACTCTGAGCAACTCTCTGCAGAATGTCATTAAAAGGAAGAATATTGGACTAACTGAGGTAATGCTACTCTTCCTGGAGGCAGCTAAGGCAATATGTCAACAGATGTCCTAAGCTCTGGAGGTTGTTTTTGAACTTATTCTAATTTTCTATATGGTGCATCATGCTCTTCCAGATGGACCCCTAATGGTGCAAGTACAAAATAACTACTGTATCTGTGCTTTCTTTTGGTCACCTCGGAGAAATCCATTATTAGTTTTTGAAAGTCACTTTTTTCTCTCTCTCATTGTTTTTACTGGCTTAATTGGTTTTCCTTTCTGAAGATGTTGGGTTAAATTTGTATTATTTGCCATTGATTATATAAGCAAAATTGTTGGTTGGAGGATACAGTCAACATCAGAGTCCTATCTACATGAATGGCAGTTCAAATACAACATCCAACATGAGGTCATATTTTGCCTACAGAAACCATTGATGCCACAGATATTGGTACTCATAATCCTTGGTTAGTGTTAGACTTAGCTTTTGTTTTTGAGATACCTCACATGAATGGAATATTACTCTTTATCAGCATGTAAGTCTAGGGATTTGGGGTTGAGTAGAAGTGAGAGAAAGGCACCCGTCACACTTCTGTGGAAGCTCAAGCAACCTCACAAAGACGGGAGGGATATTGTACATATGTGGGGAACAGTATGTTGGCAAAACAAAGATTTGGAGCATTGGCACGAAATCTTAAAATTTAGAAAGATGTGAAGTTTCCTTTCTCTTGGAAGCCAGGATTACATGGGAGCCTCAGCCTGCCTTTTTATGGAAATTATTGTGCCAAAAGTGAGTGCTTGGAGGAATTGACTTTTTCCCACAGGGAAAGAGAAAGGCTGTTGGCCATCTGTTTTACCTGTGGCAGTGGTGTAGTTTGAAAGGCAGCTGCTCTAGGAAAAATGGACATTTTCAGATTTATACTGTCAAGGATTATAGTGAAAGTCAGTAAATGGCTAATGATACCGACTCACAGGTAAAGACAGCTGGAAGCCAGGTGAACATCTACTTCTGTTTTAAAATGATTGTGTTGTGTTTTTTTCCCTGTGTTAAGATATAAAAGTATTATAGCATGGGGTATTGGCAGTGATTGAATTCTACTTATAACTAACTTTTGTTACAGTTGAATGTCACCTATGACATTGTTTAGGATGTTTTTATAATTTTGCAGAGCTTCCTTTTTATTGCTGATATAGAAACAATTAAGTATTGCTTTTGCGTGTCTGATAATAGGTTAACCTCATAATCAGGCAGGCTAGAGAAAAGGAAAGTTGGAGTGAATATTAGAAAGTCCTGCTTTTGTGAGATTGTGTTGTTCTCCTTTTCTGAATCCCAAGTAGGACAAGAAGTTTGTTGTTTATTTTGTGAACTACCTCTACATTATTACTTTTGATATAATTCTTCTTATGCCATTTGATTTAGCAGTCTCTTAAAAAGTCATTTTAAGTAAGTAGCAGGAACATGGTGTTATAGAAACAGCTTTGGCCTTAGAAGACTCTTGAGTTTAGTTGTGGCTGTGCAATTGATTTACTGTGACATTTTAAGAAAAAGACCTGAATTCTTACTTCTATGGTTTTCCTGATTCCATTGACCTTTTCAAGGATACTGTACAGGTCAGGTAATGATAGGAAGAACAGTAAGAGCTTATCAAAGAAGAAGTTTATAAAACTTCTTGGCACTATTTAAATGAATGCTAAATGTTATTCCTAAGTCATTGGATTTCTTTAGGCAAATATACTTTTAGTATCGATAAAGTATGAATGGAGACATATGAATGGAGACATATCCACAGGCATTTTATTTGGTGGTTTGGTGGTTATGGTGATGTGTACATGAATAGACACACACCCAGTGATTTTCCTCATCACCAACCAGTAAATCTTTAAATAATTGTATTATTCACCTTTGAAAAGAGAAGATGGTATGTCCTCCTTTACAGTTAACTAAAGTGAGTTCACATCTGGAATCATCATTATAATAGGTAACATTTATGGAACAATTTATATTCTTCAAAGTCCATTCACAAATACCATCTCATTTAGCACAATAACATTTGAAGCAGTCTGGGAATGTGTTATTATTCCTGCTTTTATAGAAGACATATAATTAAAGTTCAAGGAGATTGCCCAAGGTCATACAGCTAGCAAATTGATAGAAATGAGACTTAAGTCCAGGTTGTTCTTTTCCTTATTGACTTTTACTATATGTGCTGCCTTTCATATTGACTTAATTATTTCATCATGATGTGATAGAGATTTTTACAGGAGGTCCATGGTAACGTGGAAGTTGTTCTTGTTAGAGATGGTTTTGTGACAAGGGACAGACTTTTACTAAAATAATAGAAGTATTTATAAGTATACAAAACTCAAAGTCGAATTCTGTTTCAGGTTGTCAGACAATTCTTTTAGGATTTAAAAGTGTCCATAAGCTGATGTTTGTCTCTGTCTGTTTTTGAGTTTACATGATATTGCATTGCTTCTTTTAGCTATCCATATGCTCTATCTTTTTATCCTTTTCTGCTTTTACACTGTATTTCTTGCAGTTGGGCAGATTACTTAGCTGTATATAAAGAATGGTAACAATAGCCTGTATTTTACAGGATTGTTGCCAGAATTAAATTAACATGTAAAGTGCTTAGAATAGTGCCTGGTACATAGTAAATACTCAGTGCACGTCACCTGTTATTAAGAAGGAGGTCTGAGCAAGTAATTATTGTTGGGTCTGATAGAGAGATGTAGATTTTTCAATGAAGAGAAATCAGATTAGCACAAGATGCCCCATTAAGATAAACAATTTGTTTATTAACTTTATAATATTTATTGAGTTCCTATTATGTGACAGGCAACAAAAGAGATCCTTGCTTGCATTCTAGTGGCAGAAAACGGATAATAAATAATAAAATAAATAAATAAAGCATCTAGTGTGATAAAAAGCGGTGAGTGCTACGGAGAAAGAAAAGAATCTGGGTTAAGGAAACCAGGGATCTGGTGGAGGTTCAGGGTGGTTTTATTAGAAAGAGCAACATCTTTACTGTGAGTTGTAACTAAAGGGGAACTAGAACAAAGGTCTGAAGGTAGTTAAGTAATTGGCAAATTCAGGGAGTAATAAGGAAGAGTAGCTGGAGTGAAATGAGCAAAGCAGGAGATTAGATTAGAAAGATACCAGGGGTTCATGGTAGGTCACTGTATTTATTTTGAGCGAAATGGAGGCCTTGGTAGGATTTTGAGTAGTGACATGGTCTGACATGTTTCAAAATGATTGCCTTGACTATGGTATTGAGAATGAACTGTAGGGTCTAAACAGGAGGACAGTTAGGAAGCTTTGACAATAATCCAGCAAGATTAGATGGACGCTTGGGTTGTAGCCATGGAGGTGATGACAAGTGATCAGATTTGGAGTGTAGAGTCATCATGCTTTCCTGGTGATTGATGTAAAGGAAATGAGAGTGAGAAGTTAAAGATAACTCTCAAGATTTTTTGAGGGACTTCCGGTCAAGATGGCGGCGTAGGGAAACGCAGTATCGCGTTCTCCCACGACCACATCCAAGTTACAACAAAACTATAGAACAACCATCATCCAGAACCGCCTGAAATCAAGCTGAATGGAAGTCCTACAACTACGGAATTAAAAAAAATAAAAAAATAAAAAAAGCAGCTACATCCAGACCGGTAGGAGGGGCGGCGGCGTGAGGGGTGGCGGCAGCGGCGCGGTGACGCGAGGGGCTGGTCCCACACCCAAGTGTGGTGGATAAAAATCAGGAGGCTCCCGCGGCTGGGAAGGTCCTTCCTGAGGACTGAGGGGTCCCCGTCCCACACCAGGTGCCCTGCTCAGGGTTCCAGTGCCAGGAAGAGAATCCCCATAACTTCTGGCTGGAAAAACCAGCAGAAACTGAGGCTCAGGGAAGCTGAAGCGGCTGGAGCCCCAGGCAGCTCCCTAAAAAGCCCGCGCACGGACTTATCGGACTCTCTCCCTCTAAGCTCGGAGGGGAGGCAGCTCGAGGGGCACCAGAGAAATACAGGGAAGAACTGAGCTGTTTGGCACTGGAGCGAGGGCTGGAGAGGAGGCTTTCTCGGGGACAAACGTGCTGTAAGAGGCCTTTGTTCCTTTGGTGAGCCCTTCCCTGGGGCGGCAGACAGTCGCCATATCTGGGACTCCAGCAACCTGGCTCACACTGGTAGCCCCGCCCTGCTGACTCCCTAAGGCCCCGCCCCACCCCGCCCCACACAACTTTCAAGCCCACCCAAGCAGTTGCTACTTGCTTAACCATAGGATTGGCCTGTCTTGGATCCTGCTTCAGGTTTTTCCTAAATTCTTTCAAACGAGCAGCATCGGGTCTCAGCGAGCCCCATACCTCTCATTAAGTAATACACAGAAACAAACACAGGGAGGCAGCCAAAATGAGGATACAAAGAAACAGGTCCCAAATGAAAGAACACAACAAAACCCCAAGAAAAGAACTAAGCGAAATGGAGATAAGCAACCTAACAGATGCTGAGTTCAAAATACTGCTTATAAGGATGCTCAATGAACTCAGTGAGGGCCTCAAGAGCATAAAAAAGGACCAGTCAGAAATGATCGCTGCACAGTTAGAAACGAAGGGGGCTTTAACTGAAATAAAGAATAATTTACATAGCTTCAATAATAGAGTACGTAAATCCAAGGAGCAAACCATCGATTTGGAATATAAGGAAGCAAAAAATGCCCAATCAGAACTGCAGAAAGAAAAAAGAATCCAAAAAAATGAGGATACTGTAAGGAGCCTCTGGGACAACTTCAAGCGTGCCAACATTCGCATCTTGGGGGTGCCGGAAGGAGAAGAGAGAGAACAAGAAATCGAAAACCTGTTTGAAACAATAATGGCAGAAAACTTTCCTAACTTGGTGAAGGAAACAGACATACAAGTCCAGGAAGCACAGAGAGTCCCAAACAAGATGAACCCCAAGAGGCCCACACCAAGACACATCATCATCAAAATGCAAAAGGTTCAAGACAAAGAGAGAATCTTAAAAGCAGCCAGAGAAAGG